GGGAACCTAGTAAACATAATGTTCTTTCTGTAATTGTATATTAATGATACCAAAATAAAACAAACAAACAAATAAATAAAAAGAATCCACTCCAAAACTACTAGATCTAATATCTGAATTCAGCAAAGTTGCAGGATACAAAATTAATACATAGAAATCTGTTGCATTCCTATACACTAACAATGAACTAGCAGAAAGAGAAATCAGGAAAACAATTCCATTCATGATTGTATCAAGAAGAATAAAATACCTAGGGATAAGCCTAACCAAGGAAGTGAAAGACCTATACTCGGAAAACTACAAGACACTCATGAGAGAAATTAAAGAAGATACCAAAAATGGAAACACATTCCATGCTCATGGATAGGAAGAATTAATATTGTCAAAATGGTCATCCTGCCTAAAGCAATCTACAGATCAATCCCTATCAAAATATCAACAGCATTCTTCAACAAACTAGAGAAAATAATTCTAAAATTCACATGGAACCACAAAAGACCCCAAATAGCCAAAGCAATCCTGAGAAGGAAGAATAAAGCTGGGAGGATTACACTCCCCAACTTCAAGCTCTACTACAAAGCCACAGTAATCAAGACAATTTGGTGCTGGCACAAGAGCAGACACATAAACCAATGGAACAGACTAGAGAGCCCAGATATAAACTAAAGTATATATGGTCAATTAATATATGATAAAAGAGCCATGGACATACAATGGGGAAAATACAGCGTCTTCACCAACTGGTGTTGGCAAAACTGGACCGCTACATGCAAGAGAATAAAACTGGATTATTGTCTATCCCCATACACAAAAGTAAACTCAAAATGGATTAAAGACCTGACTATAAGTCATGAAACCATAAAACTCTTAGAAGATAACATAGGCAAAAATCTCCTGAATATACACATAGCAACTTTTTTCTGAATGCATGTCCTCAAGCAAGGGAAACAAAGGCAAAAATTAACACATGGGACTACATCAAATTTAAAAGCTTTTGTACAGCACAGGACACCATCAACAGAACAAAAAGGCATCCTACAGTATGGGAGAATATATTTGTAAACCACATATCCAACAAGGGGTTAACATCCAAAACATATAAAGAACTCTCATGCCTCAACACCCAAAAAGCAAATAACCCAATTAAAAAAATGGGTGAAGGATATGAACAGACAATTTTCCAAAGAAATTCAGATGGCCAACAGACACATGAAAAGATGCTCCACATCACTAATCATGAGGGAAATGCAAATAAAAACCACAATGAGATATCACCTCACACCAGTTAGGATGGCCAGTATCGAAAAGACTAAGAACAACAAATGCTGGCGAGTATGTGGAGAAAGGGGAACCCTCCTACACTGCTTGTGGGAATGTAAGCTAATTTAACCATTGTGGAAAGCAATATGGAGGTTCCTCAAAAAACTAAAAATAGAAATACCATTTGACCAGGGAATTCCACTCCTAGGAATTTACCCAAAGAATATAATTTCTCAGATTCAAAAAGACATATGCACCTTCTATGTTTATTGCAGCACTATTTACAATAGTTAAGATATGGAAGCAACCTAAGTGTCCATCAGTAGATGAATAAAGAAAATATGGTATATATATATATATAAGGGAGTACTACTCTGCCATAAGAAAAAAACAAATTGTACAATTTGCATCATGAATGGGGCTGAAGGATATTATGCTCAGTGAAATAAGCCAGGCGGAGAAAGACAAGTACCAAATGATTTCCCTCATTTGTGGAGCATAACAACGAAACAAAACTGAAGCAACAAAACAGCAACAGACTCAAAGATTCCAGGAAGGAACTAGCGGTTACCGAAGGTGAGGGGTGAGGGAGGGTGGGTAGGACGGAGGGAGAAGGGGATTCAGGGGTATTATGATCGGCACACATGGTGTGGGGGGAATCAGGGAGTAGACAGTGTAGCACAGAGAAGGCAAATAGTGACTCTGTGGCATCTTACTACACTGACGGACAGTGACTGCAATGGGATATGGGGGGGACACTGTAACAGGGGTGAATGTGGTAACCACATTGTTTTTTCATGTGAAAACTTTGTAAGTGTATATCAGTAATACCTTAATAAAAATTAATTTAAAAAAGTACAGTGTATGATACATATACAAAATATGTTAATTGACTTTATTTTACTGTTAAGGTTTCCAGTCAACAATAGGCTATTACATTTTGGGGAGTCAAAAATTACATGCAGATTTTCAACTGTGTATAGGGTTGGCACCCCTAAGGCCTGCAGTGTTCAAAAGTCAACTGTATTATTAATTTTTTAGGTGTGAAGTTGTCCTTGGTTGTTTTTTTTCCCCTACAATTTTATTGATATAATTGAGGTTGGCTTTTTAAAAAATAATCTTAAAAAGATACATCTGTTGCTATTTCAGTACAGAGGAACATACTTTGGTTTAATATATTGTGGAGGATAAATGCCTGGTCTCAAGAATAGTTTTCCAGTAATCACTTTAAAATCAGAAAACAGCAGTTAAGAACTGAGACCTAGTTGGTACAGATAGTGTGGAACTTTGTTGAGCAGGTAAATCTGTAGGAATCTTCTCTTGCTGCTAAATTGCATGGTTTACTTAGTCCCATGGCTGGTTGAACAGATTGTGGGCATTGGGCCTTGGTAAATCTCAGTTGACTGAGGGGAAGTGATTAGGATAAATTCAAATTCCTCAATACGGGCTGACTTGGAGCAGGTTCAAAGGCTTCTGACCCTCAGGCCAGTGCACACCCCTCGCCCAGCCCCCGCTAATTCGGTGCAGATCTGGGACCTGAGCTGTCCGAGGTTCGTGATTCCAGTGTACCACCTGCTATGGAAGGTACTGGGGGAAATAAGACAAGTTGGCGGTAGGAATCATAAAAGTTGAACGAATTTTAAATGACAGTGAGGACCTCAAAAGGTCTATAGACTAGACTATAGTCTAGTCAAAAGACTATAAAAGGGTCTCAAATAGGCTGTTCCTTGTAATGGTCACAGCTCCTGTGTGGTGTCGTATGTACCCTGAACAAAAGGACAGGTAAAAGAAGATTCAGTAAACGTGTTATATAAAGGTAAACCAGGAGCCCAGGGAAGAGCCAGCTGAAGAGGAGTGACCAGTCTTCGGGACCTGTACACAAGGCAAGCTTCTGAAAGCAGGTCTGGAGGAAAGGGGAAAAGCGTACTTTCGAAAAGAAATTGGCCCCGTCCCCCAAATCTGGGAAGCTGGCCCTTAACTGAGGAACCGACGATCTAAGAAGCCTCAGAGAGCAAGCTGGGGACACGTGCCAGGTTGGATGAGGGAACGCAGTGCAGTGACGAGCCAGGAAAGAGAACTGGTGTTCAGGAAGAAGCCGTAGCAGAGGTTTTGGGCAGGAACTGTCCTGTTACGGTACACCCCTCAGCGTCGCTTAGCGCTGGCAAGAGATCGACATTCAGCAAAAACCTGGAACTGCTCATTGCTGAAGGCAGGCTAACGCTGGCCTATCCACGGGCTAAGGGGCCAGGTCCCCTCCACTGGCCCCCTCACCCAACTGCAGAAGCCCCGCCTACACTGGAAGCGACAGCGCGCGGAGACCCGCCCCGTACCACGCCCGGCGCACACCCGAGGCCCGCACCGAGGGTGCGCAGGCGGCGTCCGCCGTTTACGACGTGCCGGAAAGTAGCGGCCACAGCCGGCGTTGGGCTGAGCCGGGCCACTATGGGGGTGAGGCAAAGGCGAACCGCCGCCGGAACAGGGACGGAAAGGTGGCGAGGACCTGGGAGGTGGGAGCTCGCGCCAGGAAGGGATGAGAGTAGTGGGCTCGCGCTGAGAAGGAGCCGGGGAGGCAGAGTTCGTGCCGGGAGGGGCGGGATCCGGGCTAGGTGTGGGGCTGCGCAGGCGCGGCTAATGTAGTCACGCTGGCTCTCCCTCAGAAAGTCGCGCTGCAGCTCAAAGCCACGCTGGAGAACGTCACCAACCTCCGGCCTGTGGGTGAGGACTTCCGGTGGTACTTGAAGGTGCGGCTGGAGGGGCGGGGCCCCAGGCGCTAGAAGGGAGGAGCCCAGGAGAGGGTGTGGGCGCTTGGAGGGTCCCCGCGCCGGCGCGACTGCGGAGGGGGGCGGGGCGCCAGGGGCCGGGCTGGGCCGGGGAAAGGTTTCCCGTCCTGACCTGCTGCTATGTTGAACAAGAGATTTCGCTCCTGCAAGATGGAAAATGTTTAGCCTTTATGTTTTTTGTTCCTGAGTAGAATTTAATGTTTGCTTTTTAAAACTTACTGGTTGATTCTTAATTGGCAGTGTCTTGGAATTCCTTTTAAACATTTTCCCTCCGTTAAATATTTAACAATATATGCACAAACACTAAACGTAGGCTACTTGAAGGGATCTAGTGATTACTTAGTAAGGAGAAGGATTTCATCTTCTGTTACTTTCTCAGCCCTTACAGGTAAACCTGGTACTCTAGGTGCATGATCTACAGAAGTCTTCCTACCTGAGCAGTTTGAGGCCCTTCACTGTCCCAGATGCCAGAGCTCCTGCTCTGTTTTCCTCCTAGGCTAAATCCCAGCATCCTCAGTACCTGGCAAAAGCCTCTCTCTTTTGGGATGACTTCTGACCACCTTTATTACCATATATGTAGAAGCCTAAGTACCAGGGCTTATTTGAGGAATTGATGTTCTTTGGCTTCAAAAGCACAGTCTAGGAAAGGAGAAAGAGTGAAAACAGAGTGGTAACTACTTTTAACAGGAACCTACAGGGTCTATAAGAATACAGAGAGCTTCTGACCCAGCAGAGTGGGTAGAGGGACCTGTTGACGCCATTTCTGTACACACAAGTCTTGAATCCCTAGCTAGACTAGGGACTATTTAGAGGAGGACAACCATGCCAGCATGAGAAATACCTTGACCTATTTGCCTAGAGATAAGTCTACTTATGTCTTTAGTGGGTTCTGGTTATAAGAGCTTAAGGTGAGATTGCCAAGAGGAAGGTAGGCTATGAGCCTGGCCATCTCACTGGTCTTACCCTTCCCTCATTGTCTGCTCAGATGAGCCGATGCTTTACTAATACTCCTTTTTCCACCCCCAAGATGAAATGTGGCAACTGTGGCGAGATTTCGGAGAAGTGGCAATACATTCGGCTGATGGTAACTGCTCCCCCTACCACCATGCCAACACACAAACACATAAGTGCCTCTGGGCAGGGATTTGGGGAACCTGTGGCCTTAATCTCTCTGGTCTTTGTTCCCTGCATTTTGTGGTTTGGGAGGACAGGCCATCAGTATAATCAACACTGGGAACAACACGCTTCTTTGGGATGTGAGACAGAGTTCAAACTCAAGGGGAAATCCTTTTCTCAGTCTTAAGAAGCCTCTCTAGGATTCTTGTCTTAGCAAATTGCTCACTCTTTCTGGGTCTTGTTTTCTTCAACTGGATCAGTGGTAGGACTAGGTCTCCTCAAACCCCTTACATCTAATTGATATGTGACTAGAGGTTCTGTTTACTCCTTGCCAGGACAACGTGGCACTGAAGGGAGGCCGTGGCAGCGCCTCCATGGTCCAGAAGTGCAAGCTGTGTGCAAGGGAAAACTCCATCGGTAGGTCAGGCCATGAGTACTGAGCTCTGACAGTGTGGCCCCCAGCCTCCTGGTACCAGACCCAAAGTAGGCTCATGTTACCTGTGGGTAGACCCAAGCCTGAGATGCCCAAGCTTCTGCAGCAGACTCTTTCCCAGCCAAGTCAACTTTGTCTTCTCTTTTACATTTCAGAGATTTTGAGCAGCACCATCAAATCATACAATGTAAGTTTCCTTCTGTAATGGCAGGTGTGGGGATTAAATCAAATCTAGATGCTAGGAGGCCTGGATTCTAGAATTCTAAGTGCACCAGAGTGACCTGCCATGGAACATTCATTCATGTGCTTACTTGTTCATTCATTCATTCAGTTATTCACTCTATCAGTCATATAGTCACCGTACACTGACTGAGAGCTTGGTAGAAAAAAGACTGATAAACAGGCTATTGTAGGGCCTTCCTCTAAGAGCTTGGAGGACCTCCAGCCCAGCCTGGTCTCTCAGTTTCCATGGGAGCTCTTGCTTTGTCTTCATTTTGGGGAACTAGTGAGCCTTCTCTGAAACCATGGGTAGGACAGTTCTTTAAATGGTACAGCCACCATTGATATTTTCAATGTTAATAAGTAATTATATGTTAACTGTGTAACAAATTAGTCCAAAGATGAGGGAGGGAGTGTATACTTTGGGTCTGTTAGTTTAAAGTAGGGCAGTTAACTTGGATCACCATTCCTTATTTGGTGTTTTTGAAAAATGTCTGATTTATGCCAAGTTCCCAGCTTTGTCCTGAAGTTAAAGGGAGAAATCACATAGGACTTGCCCTCAAGTAAATCACAATCTAGTGGAAGAGACAGACCAACAAACAAAAAACAAACCAGGGCCAACAGAGAAGTGCCTCATCAGTGCTGGGCACACAGTTGGTGTGCAGGAAATGATTTTACAGAGCATGACAGACGGAGAATGAATGTGTGGGTGTGGTGCTGGGGGTCTCTGAGCCCATGGGTCAGGCAGGCATGAATTCCCTGGCTATACCACCCACCTCAGAGGGGCCCCTCCACATGCAAATCCCACTTCAGAGGCTTTAAGGCGGGCCCTGCCTTCACAGCATACAGATAGGTTAGCCAAAGGCTGCAGCTAAGTGTGCTGGGGCATTTGGATGATCTGGAGACTTTGTAAGTTCAACATTCTTATTCATATGTTTTATTTTGATAATTTTATCGACCATTTATTGAGCATGGTGTTGGGTACTATGCTGGGCACTACACATAGTACAGATTCCACCGTAAACCTGTGTTGGTTTCCTCCACTCCACATGACAATCTTAGGCCCAGAGGGGAAGAGAGGCAGAGCTCTTTCTGAGCTCACATCCTGGGAGGCCAATCCCAGATTCCACACTCTGTTCTTTAGCATCTTTGTCCAAGGAGGTCTCATAGGGACAAGGTGCCCAAGAGAGGCTTCTCCCAGAAGGGGATGAGTTGTTCCTGAGTCCCATTCTGGGCTCACAGGGGCAGGAAGGGCAGGGGCATCCTGAGGGCCCACTTGGGCCTACATCCTGGACACACTTCCTTTCTAGGCCGAAGACAATGAGAAGTTCAAGACAATAGTACAGTTTGAGTGCCGGGGCCTTGAGCCAGTTGATTTCCAGCCCCAGGTAGGTGTCTTCCTGGGGAACCTCTATCTTTAGGGAGCACGTATAGGAAGTGACAGCAGAACTTTGCTTCCTTTTGAGACCATGGACTAGTCTTTCTAATAATAATAAGAAATACTATTTATTAAGTACCTACTATGTGCTGGGCACCATTCTTGTCACTTTTGCATGTTATCTCATTTAATCCTCACAGCAACTCTGTGAAGTTACTCATCCTATTTTTCAGATGTGGCAAGAACTTCAGAACTAGTCTTTCTAATAATAATAAGAAATACTATTTATTAAGTACCTACTATGTGCTGGGCACCATTCTTGTCACTTTTGCATGTTATCTCATTTAATCCTCACAGCAACTCTGTGAAGTTACTCATCCTATTTTTCAGATGTGGCAAGAACTTCAGTGATTTGTGACTTGCTCAGGGTGACAGTAAGCCACAGAGCTTGCTTTAAACCTCGGTCAATGTAACTCCAGGTCCATCTGCTCATCCCACTTTAATTGTGCAGCATTTTACCTCATAACAGATCTGTGAGGTAGCCAGAAGAGTGTTGTCATCCTGGTTTCATAAATAAGGAAACTAAGGTCCAGAGAAAGAAGTGCCATGCCCAAGGGACTTGCAGAGAATCAGGGATAGTGGGCTTACCCCACACCTGCTTTCTGGTCCGAGGCTGTAGTTTGGGGGGACCATACTAGCCCTGGGGCTGCTCCCAGGCCTTGAAAGCCCAGGGATTATTCAGAACAGCTGCCCACACTGCATCTCTGTTCCCCCATCCCAAAGGTGTGACAGTAGCCAGTTCCCTGGCCAGGACTCACATTGCCAGGCCACCACCTGCATTCTCCCAGACTAACTGCTGTCTTCGTGTCACCTGCAGGCTGGGTTTGTTGCTGAAGGTGTGGAATCAGGGACAGTCTTCAGTGACATTAATCTGCAGGAGAAGGTATGGGACTTGGGGGCCTTGCAGAGTATCATAGGGTACCTGGTGGGAATTACCCTTTTGGTGAACAAGGCTTATCAGTGGAAAGATGACTAAATTTTTGTGATTTTTGGTGTTTAAGATGGCTGCAAGTACAGTGCTGAAGTACTACCTGATATTCCACATGCAGTACGACTGGGGTGTGCCTTATGGAGGAAATGCATGTTAGATAAGCTTTGTTCAGGCATGAGTTACAGTGCTGTTGCCATGAGTTCAGTATTAATGTATCAAGAGTATATATATTAAATAAGGTTTTTAAAATGGAAACACAATGAAACAAGGTTATGTATTGATTGAAGAAAATGTGATCAGATGCTCCCAGGAATCTAACCCTGAATTTCCCTTGGGAGCAGTGGCTCAGTATTTGCTAGTTCAGTGTTGCGGTTGTAGAACACAGTTACCACAGATAATGAGAATCAACTGTATTACTGAACAAGTTCCTGGCTTGCAAATAAGAAAGTTTTGTGCTTAGGCCTTGAAGTAAAGACAAAAACTTCATTCAGTTTGCATAGCACCTAATAACAGTACCTGGAATGTGCTGAGCTCTTACATGGGCCCAGCACCATGCTAAGTACTTTTACTTAGTGTTCCCTTACTTGATTCTTTCAGTGTTCAACGTGAAGTCTGTTGTCCCCCTTTTTCTTTCTAGAGGACACATCTGAGGCTCAGAGCAGTTAAGCGGCTTGCCCAAATTTACAAAGCTAGAGGAGCTGGAATTCAGGCCTGAGCAGTCTGGCTCTGTTCTGGGTCATACATGTTCGTGAATATCTGAATCAGAGCCTGAACTGAGCCTTTTAGATCCCGGTTCTCCACTCTCCACACTTTCTCAGGCTGCCTCGTGAGGCTAACACTGCCTTCTTTCCCCCCCACAGGACTGGAATGACTATGATGAAAAGACTCAGGAGTCTGTGGGAATCTACGAGGTCACCCACCAGTTTGTGAAATGCTAAACCCTCTTCCTGAACATTTACCTCTAAGAACTGAGAAGGGACAACGTGCCCCAAGGAACTGAGGCTGGTCCCCTCGTCCCTCATCTCCTGGCAGCTGTCCAAGCCCTCACAGCCTGCATGCTGGGCTCTGTGACAGCTTGCCAAGCCCCACCAATAAAGTCCCTGTTCGTGCTGCACAGGTGCATGAAGGTAGTCAGGTAGCAGCCACTCCGTCCTCCACAAATAAGAATTCATGTTAGATGTCTTTGACTGCTTCCTGGCACCCTTCCACAGTGTAAAATCTTATATCTCACCCAATTTGCAAAATACACAGGAGCACACAGCGTCTAAGCTTTCTAGCTCTGAAGGAGGGAACAGGTCAGCCTTGTGGACCAAAGGTGTCAAGGCCGATGTACAAAGGGCAGCTGAGCCTGTGGAATGATGTCATGAACCCAGTAGTCCTGATCCACTGCATTGGCCAGCTTGGCTATCAAACTGAGGCATTTCTGTTGGTGTCACTTCATATTTCAGGGCTAGAAGGGACTTATGAGGTCAGCTGTCCAGTCCTGTCATGAATCTGCTCTGTTAAGTTCCTGCCAGGTGGTCATCAGGTTCTTTGCTCACTTGTGGTGGGGCAGTCCCCTCCCATCAGGGGGTCAATATGAAAGGTCTTCCTTACTCTAAGGCAGCTCTGGGCTCTTGTAGCTCCTCCTGCTGGTCCTAGTTTGTTCCCTTTGTGGTCACACTTTTGTTCTTCTGCCCCCAGTCAGCCTTTTGGAGGTGTGAGGACAACAGTCACAGCCCTGTAAGTCTCATGGGCCTGGTTCCCTGGGTCTGAAGGCCCCTACACAGTGGACAGAGTGATTCAGGGCACAGTTCATGAGGGCGTGATCATGCCTTCACACTGGCAATCCCACCTTTTGGAAAGCCAGTCATGGGAGACCTTACTTCCATGTTCTGCTGTAGCCTGAATTCTTTGGAAGTAAAATTAGTATCTTCATTTGCTGAGTGGCCCACCAGGAAACGGTCTGCCCACTCCCAGGGGCACAAGAAGGGAATCCTCAGATTTTAGATAAAGCTGGCCGTGCCTGAGGGAAGCAAAAAGGTGCCTGCTTTACCCACCCTGCAGTCTGGCAGCTGTATCACGTTTCCTCTAGGTCCCCCTGTGTTCCCAGGCCCTGGGCCTGCTCTTTCGTGCATCTGACAGAACAGAGCTTCTTTGGCCCTGCCTCAGCCAATAGGTCCACCAGACCCCCACTCAGGGGGTCCAGTCCCCTGCCAAGCCCAGCCTCAAAGCAACTCAGTGGAGCATCAGGCTGGATAAGCAGCCTTTCTTACTTGCAGTTTGTATCATCTAGTGTGTGTGAAACACTTAAAGACAAGCACTAAAAAGATCTCAAGGTTTTCTTTATATTTTAAATACGTTTCTCACTTTTGAGGAACCCATTAAATCACTAGCAGATTAAAGGAAAAATATATTACATCAATAGATGCAGAAAAAGTATTCAGTAAAATTCAACACCCATTCAACAATAAACCGTAGAAACTCTTAACAAACTAGGAATAGAAAGGAACTACCCTCACCCCACAAAAGGTATCTGCAGAACACCTGGAGCACATGGACTGTTTAAACTGTTCCATTCAAGACCAAAGGGGAGGAGGATGCCCTCAATGGCTGCCATTCATGCGTGAGGTTCCGCTGCAGTTAGAAGGTGAAAAGAAAAGGGAAGGATTGCAAAGAAACATTTGTTACGGATTGTGATTTTTCCACTTAGAAAATCCAAAAGCATGAATAGATGGCAGATTTAGGATCAATATACAGAAACCAAATGCATTTCAGCACACTGGCAACGTGCAGAACATAGTTCAAGACAAAAGTACCTTTTACAACAACAAAATACAGGGAAGTGGCTGAGAATCAAGCCTGTCAAAGACCTTCATGACCTTAGCAGGGAGTTAATGAGCCTGCTGGGAGGTGTTAGGGCATGAACAAATGGGGGCCTCATGCCATGTTAGTGCACAGGAGGGCTTGACTGCATGAGATCATTTTCAACAAATATATAGAATTTTGGTCAAAACCTCAACTTTTGTTAAAAGAACTTAAGTTGATTCTGAAGTCTCTATAATAGGCATGGGTCTGGGATTTCCTCTTCATTTTCATACAGCATGGCAGTGAAGCTGCTGTAGTGTCAGTGCTGTGATATGCAAACAGACCCACCTGTGCACGGAAGCTGGTTAATGATGGGTGATGCTGAGGATCGAGGCCAAGTTATTAACTCATCAATAAATGGTGCTGGGCAGCTGTTTTTGCACAATAACATTAGGACCTTATTTCAATCGGCATTTGAAAGTCTGTTCCAAGGTTAGTTATCGTAAATGCTTCAGTCTAGCAGCAAATTGGGGTTGAAGAGTCCTGGGCTCAGTGTTTGGCTCACTGAAAACCCCTGGGCAAGTACTCCTTCTCAGGACCTCATTTCCTCCATTTAGAAATGAAGAAATGAGGACACTTGCAGCTCTCACATCATTACTCAATGAAATTGGGCAAAATGGTGGCATATCTGAGTTGCCCCTCATTACCAGGAAAGCCCTGCCCTGCACTCCAGGACAGTAGTCTCCTGGTAGTCCAGGGAGCAGGAGTTAAAGCTGCTGGACATGGGGACAGTGGAAAATGAGATGGATGAATCCTGAGTTGCCTACTGTCTCATTTGGATGTTCCATAAAGGTCCTCAGTGTACTCTTCTTACATTATTCCAGAACAGCTGTTAAAAGGTACTGTCTGTCTTTATCCAAATGGCATTTTTGTTAATGAAGCATGAGGTTAGGCTACAGGCCTTGTGTACAATAGTCATTTCTGTTGTTCCCCAGAAAAGGCAGAGGCACCCAGGGTCTCTGCCTGGCTAGGTAGCATGATTGATCATCTAACAGTGCTGTCCCCATTCCTCCATGAGCCAAGTCCACCTGAGGAGTTCTTTCCCTGGTTGGCCTGTCAGCTGCACAGAAGGCTCTTTTCATGCCTGGCTTTCAGAAAGATACAGGACTCAAAATACCCAATATCTTCACTCCTGGGAGCTTTCATGCATCTGAACTTTCATTCAGCCATTTTCTCTGAGGGCTGCTGCTGTGAGTTCTGGAAGGATGAGGGTGAATCAGACCCAGACTCTCATTTAGGAGGCAAATGAGGTACAAGCCATGAACTAGAATGGTCACTCCCAAACATAGCTGTGCATTGGATCACTGGGAAAACCTGAAAAAGACAAATTTCCTGGCCATTCCTACTGAATCAGAATCTCTGGGGCTAAGGCCTGAGGTTTAATTTAATAGCATTCCTCAGTGAATTTGATGTATTGAGACCATCAGAATCACTAGACCAGATTTCACTGCAGGGTGGGCTGTGGGCTGCCTGAGGGACTAAATGAGGCAGTGTGTTCAGCACAATGTTGGGGGCATGGTACGCAGGGGTGAATGGAAGCAGTTATGACTCAGAAATGCAGAGTCTGCACTGTTCTGTAATGACTGAGCACCCCCACAGAGCTGCTTCCTAAACTGGGAACCAGCAGGGGATGACTCACCTTGCCCCCGTTCCTCCAGGGACAGGCTGTTAGAGCTCCTCTTCTGGGCATACTGCCCCCAATTTAGAAAGAATTGGTTTGGAAAGAAATGATAAAACCTAACAAGAAGAGACAAATGCCAGGTGTTGATTATAACAGGCAATAAAGATTGATTTTTAAGTGAGAAAGACCAATGGGCTTTGGTTGTTAGCTCCCTCTAAGCCAACTGCAAATTGGCTATGAAGTAAAAATGATCACAGGCCAGCTCAAAAGAAATAATGGTGGTAATATAGGGTGAGAGAACAGGCCCTGTCTCCCCCAGACTGGTCAGCTCATGCTGTGTGAATTGTCCTGGTGGTGCAGGACACTTTAATAGGATTACAAACAAAACACATTGGGCCTAGAGATCATTCCCTGTGAGGTATAGTTGGGAGAACAGAAGAGGTTTATACAGGAGAAAACACTAGGAAGGTGGGGGAAAGGGGCACATGATCAGCCTTTAGAGCTGAAGGATTCACACATGGGAAGAAACAAAGACAGTTATACTCCAGAGGAAAACAAGCACCGAGTACAGAGTTCCAGGGAGACAGACTGCCGCTCAGTATAAAGAAGGCTCCTAGTGTCTGTCCAGAAGTGGGATGAGATACATTGTAGCTAGTGAGCTCCCAGTCCCTGGAGGTATTCAAGAACAGATTATGAGGATTCAAGCCTCAGATGAAGACTACCTAAGACCAGGTTTATCAAATAAGAATTCCGATTTTAATGCATCCAGTAGGAATTACTCGGCTAGACAATCCTAGGAATTTTACAACTTTCAGCTAAGAATTGTTAGTACAAACAGGGAGCTGAATTGTCAAAGGCTAATCAGTGATAAAAACCAAAGGCTCTTTTTCTCTCTTTTGAAATATCCTAAATAACAATGTTTTAACTGCAACTAGAGGGGAAAATGAATTAGCAATTAATTTCATTCAGTTAGCTAGTTCCATTAGGAGACCTGGTCTGCTCTCAGTTTCCACTCTCCTGTTCATGTGGTGTTAGCATGGAGAGAGGCCACTTCTGAGTACATTCCACATATTTAACTGTAAGCACTGTTGTTTACTCTCCCGCTCAGCTTTGAGCCTCTAACTAGAGAATAGTCACCAATGTTGCTGTTCGTGTGCCACACGGCTCGTGTCACAGTGTTGAACATGGACATGCACACTATCCTTCAGCTCTCAAGACACTGTAGCAGATAAACAATCATAATATAGGGCTTCAGGTGCTATTCAGTCAGTCCTTAAATATTTAATGAGCCCCATTTTGTGCCAAGCCTGCTGGGGCCCCTCCAGTTGCCCCATCTAGTAATGGAGAGTTGCAGAAACTGAAAAAGGGCTGGGATGCAGGTCAGGATGCTCTGGCATACACAGGAAGGGCACTAATTCAGTCTAGGACTTGAGGGAGGGAAGATTTCCTAGAGGAGTGAAGTGTAGCTGAAACCTGCAGGTTGAGCAGAAGATAGCCAAAAGGGCAGAGATGGCTTTATGCTCCAAGCAGAGGCACCAGTAAATGGCATGGGTCCCTGAGGAATCATAAGCTGTTAAAAGAGGTGAAGCTGAAAAGATCAGCAGGCCAGCGCCACCAGGGCTTTAGCTATTCGTAAGGAGTATGGA